CCCGCCGCCAGCAGCACCGAGAGGCTCGAGATCCTAGACGATGAGCGCCACGTCATCAGCTTCAGCGTCGTGGGTGGGGACCACAGGCTGGCGAACTACCGGTCGGTGACGACGCTCCATGTTTCACACTCCGGCGAAGGGACCGTCGTGGTGGAGTCGTACGTGGTGGACGTTCCTCCGGGGAACACAAAGGACGAGACCTGCGACTTCGTCGACGTCATCGTTCGGTGCAACCTCCAGTCGCTGGCAAAGACCGCGGAGAATCTTGGAGGGACCAAACTCAAAACGACGACGTCTCTGTGAGTGTACTACGTTCCTTAATCCGACGCCGCTTTTTGTCGCTTCATCGTCCGTGATTAATGTTTCCTGCGTCGTTTACGTTCCCGAGTTTTTCTTTTCTCTCTCATTTTAACACCCATCTACATGTGAAATATACACCGGCGATCTCATAGATTATATCCATAAATCATCATTTCAGTTTCTTTTTTTTTTCCCAACGTTCATACGAACAAATTTGAATCGAGAATCGCCCCATTTCGGCCTTTACTATTAGTATTTAGCTTATGCAGAAGAGATTTAACGTCTTTGTTTCCCTTGGAGCTCAAATAAAGATAGTAGTTCACATGATGAGAAAGTAAACCTTCTAAAAAAAACGAACATCGAATTTTCGCCACCCTCGTGAGACGTGTTTCGAATAACGAAGTTAAAAGACGAGTTGTCAAAAGAAGATTCCAAACAAAAAAAAAAATATTGGGTTTTGATCTTATGAATGTATCCACTATGTCTTGGAGGAGTGTCTAAACCGAAACTTGGGAATTTATACGGGCACGTATGTATAGGGATCGATATATCTATATAGTTCCAGTCACATTGTACCAGTTGACACGATATGCGCTCGAGTTACAACAACTTACATATATAGTTGCCTTTAGGTATATATACGTATGAACGAATCTAACGTCAATTCGAGTGGATCTTGTCTATTGTTCGATACATTGTATTTTCTTGCATATCGGTTTCTGTGATGGTTCTACCGCCGTACGGAACGACGTTATCGGTTCTTAGTTTTTGTTTCTTTAGATATATATAATGTATGAGCCGTGTTGGTTATATAGCGATTATATTTTTCAGATCCAATATGGTATATCCTTTACAATTGCTCCAAATCTGAAATTGGTTAGATTTTTCATCAGCTATATATATATAAATCCATATTACGAGCAAATATACGTCAGTATTAAATTTTAGTATACATAGACATATTCATCATATAATTAATGGCATTTTACATAAAACCCCCCAAAATTCTAATCAATGTACGAATAAATGTTAGTTTAGCTAGGATTTAAATAAATAAAACTGGTGCAGTTTTATATGATGTATAATATATATATATATATAAAACACTATATATTTTAAAGGGATTTGTTATATATATATATATATTCAGTAAAAATCAGTTTTCTATTTTGTCTAATACGGTTTAAACAATTTATAAATTAGATTTAAAAAAGTGCCCTTTAAAAATATATAGATTTTAGTGATATTTTTGTCTTTTTCTTTATGAAAATCTATTTAGTTATTTTTTGAACGTGTATTTTTTTACTATTATTTTTACCCATTTTTTACTATTTTCCCCTTTTTTAAAAAATATAAAAGAAAAATCTCAACACGAATTATTATTTGTTTTTTTTTCTAAAAAATTGTGTAAATATTAACGTTTTATGATTAGTTTACATTTTGTTGAGAGGATAACAGACCGCGGAAGAGATTAGCATCTAGTTTGTCGACAAAATCAACAAGGACACATTATCTATATGTATGTATGTGAATGTGTGTGTGTATATGTGTGTGTGTTGATGTAATTGAAGAATCAATCAACTAATGCTGCAACTTGACAAATACTTTAATAATCCAACAAGAAAAACCAGCAAGGATGATTAAAAAGGACATGCAAGTTGTTTATACGCACCACCTTCTTTTCTTTATTTATGCTTCTTCGAGAGAGGATATCATATTAAATGCGTTATATATATATATATATATATATATATATATATCGCATAAATAATTAATAGATAGAAAAGAAGTGCAAGTTGCATGTCCTTTTACATCACAGAAGTCGTGGTGTGTTCCAAGTTGGTGGTCTCTCCAACATACATACGTATGTATATATGCATGAGTTTCGAAATTTAAAAAAAAAATCATATCGTAATGAAAAATACCGATAAAAAAGTTTCAAATATCGACATAAAATAGTCACTGGATCGGATATTTAAACCCAAATAACCATTTTCATAATATTACGCTCTTGGTCCATTTATATACACCAAAGGCTACGGACATTTGAACATTCTAGAATTTGTTTTACCCACATGTGTTTTACATAGGAAAACATTACACATATTTTTTTTTTTTGGTAACGGCGGAATTCAACCACAGTCATTCGGACGTGGTGATAAACCCTTCGACTCCAATAACCTACAAACCATGAAACATGTAAATCATCTAAAAGGTGACAAACTCGCTGGAGAATATAATCGAACTCATAAACTCTTAAAAAATCATGAATTCTTTAACTACTAGACTTCGAATTCGAAGGGTACATATTTTTTGGTGTTGTCATGTTTAAATAAACGAATAAATTATAGGTTTAGGGACGTAGCTTATTCATCGTGGTTATTAGTATTTTTGTTTTCAAATCTTGATGCAAACGGCAGGCAATTGGTGGGTTACTACATAGAAATATAAAGAGAATATATGAATAATAATAATTAAATCAAGGGTTAGTGATGGTGAGCAATGATTTGGCCACAAATTTGGATAATGAAATGAATAGAGAGGTGCAAGTTGACGTGGGGTCCCCTACAAGTTGCAACTAAATCGATAAAAAAAAAATTTAAATAAAGGGGGAATTGTCTCTGGCTTTTTTTCTTTTTTTTTTTTAATAAATATTTCCTTCACGCCAAAGTTTCCTTCAATTCGACTGTACCCTAACCCTACCATCCGAGTTCTGCCCAAGTTCCAGCTCCAATTCGCAATAACAAATTGGAAAATAAATTTTAAAAATTTTGATTTTTTTTTCTGAGTTAGATCGCTAACTAATGATTAGTTTTAATTGGAAATTGTGAATAGATTTGATCGTTAAAATAATTGGAGTATGTTTTTATTCGTATGAATAAGAGTTTTAGGGATGCATTGACCGATTCAGAATATATTTTGGAGGCGCTATCTTTGTGAGATGGAGACACCAAAAAGATTATCAATAAGCAAACTGAAGTAGTGCTTATTAAAAAATCTTAAAATTTTCATGAAGATATATAAAAAAAATATTATAAAATGTGTTACCTAACCATCACTCTGAATCCTAGAGTGATTTACATATTTTTCTTTTCGCGTTATTCGTTTCCAAATAGACAAGTCGTTTTAGAGATAATTTTTGTTATTTAGATATCGTTTTAGATTTTCTGTATGATTTTTTAAAATTCCATGCAATAAAAATGTTATACATCTCCATATACAAAAATTGTGGAAATTACGTCCTTTTTTTTTACTAATTTCTTCAAGTCTGATCACCTAATTATAAAAAAAATATGAATGATGGGGAGGGAGTAAATTATTTTGTATAAATTTGTGCCTATTCTAAGTTTTCTGTGAAAACATTTTCCTAGTTCCTATGGATTTTTCACCGTCTTAGTTGCAAATTTTGGTGATTAATTTTACCCAAAAAAAAAAATGGTGATTAATGCATGATGTAGTGAACCCAATGGCGTTGGACCAATAGGAAGATCTATATGATGGCCCAGTCCAATCCACACACACACACGTATACATACATGCATATATATACATACATACATACATAGATACGTACATACATATACGCCGTGTGTGCGCGTGGGAATCTTTAACCAAAGCAAGCAACTGAATCTTGAGGTATCTTCAAGAAAACGTATAGTGCGAATGTGGAGATGTGAACAACCCTTAACCTAACCCCTCATATATCTATATTTTTGTTTATTTGACCATCTGGATGTGGATTATGCAGACAAAAAGCAACATCTGTTGTTCCCAAAATTTCCCGATCTACCCCTTGACGATACCCTTTCTCGGCATTTGAGGCCGAGGGTATCTCCGGAAACAACAGTACGGATCGTCACTTTCGCTTGACAACCAAGTAACAGAAGCAAACCCACATGGAGTCTCGGTCTGACATCTTAATAACAGCTTCATAGAATATGAGTTCTTGGCATTGAAACGGATTTTATTATTAATGAAAATCGGCAGGAGAATTTGACTTTTTGGAATCCAAACTATCAACATAATAAACATAGGGCGCAATGTCATCACTAGAAACATGTATAATTAATTTGACCTGTTGGCAACTGTTGCTGTGTACAATGTAAATTCTTGTACAAAATCTTGTGAAGATTCCATTAGACCTTGTATAAAGGATTTAGGTTATAGTAATATCAATTCGATTACGTATATGAGCTGTCATTAATACTATATTGGGATTACAACCAAACAGTTTGAAATGGCAGTTTGGCGAACTGTTAAAGAAGTATATAAAATTGATATTCATAAAATAAAAATATCGAGAAAAAAAAGGAATTCACGGGCAACAAATTATATACACATATATATATATATATATATAGCTTAAGAAATTGATTACCCACCAAACTTTTTCTAAAAGCTTAAAAAAGAATGAAGTTAAAAAGAGGGACATGGAGGAAGACTCGTCAATATAACCCAAGAAGAGACCTCACGAGGAAGTGGGAACCCATAAATATATATAATATTAAAAAAAGAAAAGGAAGAAGAAGGAAGCCAATGGTGAAGCGACACCTGTTGATGATGGGAATAAGGGCGAGCTTCCACTCCATCGCCGCCGTCCTCGTTGCCGGAGTCATTGTCATCGCCATGTACCTCTCCCAAAACGCTGGCTCCCAGAACCTAAACGATGCCGTTTCGGACGTGGAAGGAGGAGGCAGTGGCAGTGGATGTAATTTGTACGAAGGGAAGTGGGTGTTTGATAATGAGTCGTACCCTCTGTACAAGGAAGAAGGTTGCAGATTCATGTCGGATCAACTGGCTTGCGAGAAGTTCGGACGGAAAGATTTGAGTTACAAGTTCTGGAGATGGCAACCTCACCGATGTGATCTCCCCAGGTTTTAATCCTCTACTTAAATATATACAATTATTCATATGCATTCATATATATATATATGAATATATATGTATGTACGTGTACATAAAAGTTAAAACACATCACCATATACGAAATTAAAATGGTTATGAATGGTAATATCGTTTTTACATTTTGGCGCTTCCAAACGTGAAATATTTTATTCTTATACCAATTAAGATTTTTTGTGAGGAATATTAACAAATATTTTTTTGCTATGTTTTCATTCCTAATAATAACTAGAAATGTTGAAAACTCATTCATTTAGCATATAGTAGCTTTTAATTTGTGTTTTGAGTTTTATTGTTCTATCCCACAAATGCGATTAAATGCTATCATGTTACATTGCTCCATATTTTTTTTCCCTGCTATTCTCTTATTCACCTGTCATAGCATTCCAAAACCAATAATTGGAAAAAAAAAAAAAAACCTTTTATATGCTAGACGGATGACTTTTCAAGATTTTTACACAAGATAATCTTAATGAAATAAAGTTTTCAGGTTAAATAAACGTCATGGCATTTCAAACGAAAATTTTTATTGGTATATGCAAAATAGTGTCTTAACGATTCAAAATTGCCAAAATGTAATGCATACCATCCACAGCCATCGTATCGTTTGTGTTGTTTCGTAACATTCCTCGTTCTTATTAGGCTTATTACATGGATATATAATTATATATATAGTCACTATGTTACTACGTGCAGGGAATTATGATTTATTTTGATAATGGTGAGATTGAATTGGGTTAAGTAAAGTATTAAATTAATGTGAAAAGGTTTAACGGGACGAAGTTGCTAGAGAGGCTAAGGAACAAGAGGATGGTATACGTAGGAGATTCACTCAACAGAGGCCAATGGGTCTCAATGGTGTGTTTGGTCGGTTCGGCCATTACAAATCCTAAGCTAATGTATATGCATAACAATGGCTCCAACCTCATCACCTTCAAAGCCCTCGTAAGTCCCTCCTATCGTATGTTCGATTTACTCGATTTTATAAGGTTATTCGGTTCACGAGGTTTTTTTCTCTAACATAAATTTTGGTTCGGTTTGGGATGTGGGCTAAATGATGTCGAATAGTTAGTTGTGTTTTTAGGGATAATGTATGTAATTAGGCAATTAATTAGTGACGGTTGTTAAAAGATGCGGCCGAAAGGAATGATGATTGCTTTTGTCATGTGGTGATAATGAAATATAAATACATATAGGAATACAATGCGACGATAGAGTTCTATTGGGCCCCACTGCTGGTGGAGTCGAATTCGGATGATCCGACGTACCATAGGTTACCGGATCGAGTTGTTCGGATCCAATCGATAGAGAAACATGCGAGACATTGGACCGACTCCGACATCCTCGTCTTCAACTCCTACTTATGGTGGAAACGTCCCCATATTCAAGCTCTGTAAGCAAATCTCTCTCTCTCGCACACACGCACACCCTCTTAATATTATAATTATGTCTTATATATAAAAGGTAGATAATATGCATAATATATGTTTCAGGTTTCCTCACGGCGACTGTCTAAAATAATCTAATTTCGAAATTGGGAATTAAGTCCACACATAACACAAACCAAATCAGTAAAAGATATATCCATTAATTACAAACTTAATCCATGATTAACATAATATCCCCTAGATATAAATGCCAACAATTAAGGCGCCGAAGAAAGAAGCAGTGCTCGCTTAAGAAAATTAGAACAATAAATGAAGCCGCAAATGATATCTCGCAAATAATTGTCCCCAAACTGAAACGCTCGATCGGTTTGAAACCCAAACACTCCAACAAGGAAAAATTTATGTGAATGAATTGTTATGAATGGATCTCGCGCGTTAATCAAGAACAAAAAATATCTAATTAATATATGTATACTAATATACTAAAAGTTAAATTGATAAATCCTCTAATATTCAGATGTCTTAGAATTCTTGATAGATATGAAATTTAAATAGACGGAGGGATTATGAATTGATTTCACATAATGAATATAAATATGAGGAATAATGAAAAATGAAAAAAAGAGGGGAATGATGATGAAATTGACAGGTGGGGGTCGTTTGAGAAGTCCGAAGATGGGATATACAAAGAAGTGGAGATGGAGAGAGCATACGAGATGGCTCTCCGGACTTGGTCTCAGTGGTTGGAGCTTCATATTCGCCGAAACACCACTCGGCTTTTCTTCATCTCCATGTCCCCCACTCATGAAAGGTACCTCATCTCTCTCTCAATTTTTAACCTACTTTATTATATATATATATATGCACACACACACACACACACACACATCAAGTATATATATATATATATATATGAATCATGTGATAAACCCTATACGTACTTTCCTAATTGATTTCATTCACATTTGTATTTCTGGATCCCAATCGGGTATGTTTTAGTCATGTGCATTCGCATGCACTAGTTTTGATCTTTATTTTTTTCATATACTTCTACATCATTCTAAATTAATGTGGAAACAACGAATGAATGTATATTGCACGTTTCTATAGTTATTAATGTAACATGTTACATGGATAATAAAAAATCCGATTGAAGAGAGACTTCACACGTGACAAAAACCGATATTGACCAAAAGAGTGAGTGGTTGATACATTATATATGAGGTTACATATAGGGCTGAAGAGTGGGGAGGAGAAATGAACAAGAGCTGCTACGGGGAGACGGAGAGGATAAGGAGGGAGGGGTACAGGGGAAAAGGGTCGGATCCGGAGATGATGAGAGCGGTGGAAAACGTGATCGGAGAATTGCGGACAAGAGGAGTGGAAGTCGAGATGATAAACATAACGCAGATGTCGGAATACAGGAAAGACGGGCACCCTTCTATCTATAGGAAGCAGTGGGAGCCATTGAAGGAGGACCAGATGCTTGATCCCGACAGCTACTCCGACTGCATACACTGGTGCTTACCAGGTGTCCCCGATGTCTGGAACCAACTCCTCTACGCTTTTCTCCTCAAGGATTGATTGTCTAATCATTTATCGTCCTCAACATTTGCAATTGTACAGTTTATTATTTTTCCAACAATACTTTGTGTGTAATTACCCACATGTTTGTGGTCGAGTGACCACCTACCGAAAAGGCTCTTCAAGGTCGAGCGTTCGAAACTCGTATGTGGGGAGGAGGGACGCAATAAAATGCGTGATTAAAGAATGACTCCGAGCCCCCGGGATATAATTGGGCCTTCGGTGAATCTCTCGGTTACCCATGCATGTTTGTAAGATTAAAAAGGAAAAGCCGAAAAGATATTTCTACTGTAAATTTGGATCCCACGCAGATAGGGGATGGACCAAAACAGGGCCTTGAAAATGTTGGGAGAGGACTTAGAGATTGCGCTTCCCAAAACGTCGCCGTTTTAAGGTAGATACACTCCAAAGCCCGTCTTGGCCCACGGCGAAGTCCGTTCAACTCGCTAATTTGATAACAGATTTTCATATATATATATATATATATATATATAACTATTGCATGATCAAATTATTACTTTTTTAACTATTTTTTATTTGTAAAAAAAAAAACTCAATGTTTCTCAAAGTAATAACTTTTAAGATTCGAATAGAAAGAAGAAAAGATAGTAAAAGCGACCTCAGGAACGAACGAAAAGATAATAGTGTGCGAGATTCATCTTTCGCCTCCTTCTTCTTGTTTTTTATGCTCGTCTTTTCCTGTCTTTTTTTTTTTCATCTTCCGTATTTTTTTTTGTGACGGAGAATTTTTAGGAAGTAGGGAGAGTTTATATTTATTTTTCGAAGGAAAATTACGCCAAATACTCTTGAATCTATTTTTTGTTCTTTTTTTGGAAATTTTTTATTTTTAAAAAATACGTAAACACTGTATTTGAGTAATGAAACCAAATATATCTTCATGTCTTTTTTGAATAAATATTAAAATACATAATAATTAAATGGCTTCCGATGAATATTGTATAACATATGGAAATTATCCTTTTTAGACGATCATATAGGAACATCAACAGTTACAACTTTGTTAATTGCTTTGTTACGAATTATTAAAAATTTGTTTCATAATTTCTTCTTCAAAAATAAAAATCTTAAGTGATAACTTTTTTTATTTTTATAATACATTTAAAATGAATTTTTTTTCATATAATAGCTTAATTTTTTATATAAATCTCATAAATTAGTATTTATTTATAATAGATTAAAAATATTATGATTAGAAATATACTAATTTTTTATTTTCAATAAGATAGAGATACTTATAACAATAAAAATAAAAATGCGTATTTGATACTGTCTTTTAAAAAAAGAAAACAATTATGTTAAACGCTCGAATGCCGAAACTGGTAAGGTGGCAGAAGATTCAGACTATAAAGTTACATGCACGTTAAAAGCAACCGAAAAGTGACGGTCCAATTGTTAATAGTATGTGCGTACATAATATATATATATATATATATATCATTCATCATCGCATGTTTGGATTTATCAATGGAAGCTCGTTCTTCTTCAGACTCATTGATTGAGGACTGTGTCCGTGATCATGACTTTGCAAAAAGCTGAGCAGATGAAGTTGAATTTTGTCAGAATGAATGTATAGTAATTAATAATAAATTTAATTAATTTTCTCATTAATCTATATGTAACGTTTTATCGATTTCTTTTATTTGGAGATTTTCCATGCTAGTTGGATCGCATACTTCCTCGACGGTTCAAATCAAATTCAATAAGAACAGGAAAAAAAAATATAAATGTAACCCATATGGTGATAGACGATATTCTTTCTAAATCAGTTTGAAAAAATCGCATACCAAATAATTAGCAAACAGTCTCTTCATGTATTTCAAATCCTATAGGTTGATTCTTTTCAGACCTTTTGCACGGGCACCAATCAATGTCACATGTTTTCTTTGGATTTGACCATTATCATAATGCAAAATCTGAATAATTAAAATGTATCATATATCATGTATTAAATTTAGATCCTACATAAACCATAGGTAATATACACACACACATACACAAATAATTCAGTATCACCAGTCTGACAGAAACTAACAATGGTCGTCAAAGTATAAATATATTAATAAAACTGGTGTCCGAAAAAGCTGTGTTTTTTTTAAATTCTGTGTCACAGCGTAAGGCGCACAACTGGGCATAGGTTGCAGGAGTTTCAGACTATAAAGTTCCATGCACACTTCACGTATTTCATAAAAAATGACACTCCAATTATTAGGGTTTTTTTTATATATATATAATTTCCATGGAAATTCACTCATTCCTCTTTTCGGTTATTTTTTAAAATATAATTTTTTGAGTATTTATGTATCGGAGACATCGACGGGATCGAGGCTGTGATTGTTACGATGACCCAACGAAACTCTGACAAAAACGAAATTGAATATTGTCAGAATGAATGTTTTGCAAGTCTTCGACCAATAATGCATACTTATTCACCAATTTATATAACCGTCCCGAATTCGGGCTTCAAATTGGAGAGAGTTGCATAATTCCAATCATATGGTTTGTTTCCGATCCCGATATTAATTTGGACCTCGGCCCATGACACCCGATTACAAAAAAGAACATGAACACTCAAAACAAAAATATATGAGAAAACTCTTTCGATCTATCGTACATTTACGAGTCTATATATATAACATGAGTATACAATACACCCTGCTGCCGACAAACATACCCGTACGCCACCGGAAAAGAGAGAGAACAAAAATTGAAATCTTAGACAATATTTCATTTGATTCGTCATTGACTAAAATGCCGTTTAGAACTTTCCTTTGGTGAAAAAGCATGTCATTGTCTTCATAATATATAACGGAGAAAAAGCCAAAGACTATATACATCGATATACACGTAGAAAAGGCTATAAGCTCCAAGCAGCGTTTTAGGGTTACTGCTTGAAGATCACACAAGTGTGTGTACATTCTTTCTAAATCAAAAGAAAAAACTTGCATAATTAAGGGTCGCACCGAACAATTATGAAATATGAAATATATACATTAACAAAAAAAAATCGATTATATGGAATATATATATATATATATATATATATATATATAGCTCTCTCTCGTGGATTTCAATCCAATAGGTGAGGGGGTTTTCATTTCGCAATAATAGATATGACAAATGATCACAACTATTACAAGAGCCAATTCGGTTGAAAAATAAAGCAATAAACAAAACCGTGACACAATAATTAGTTTTATCTTGTCGATGGGATAACAAAATATGAATATGTCAAGATTGTCGAAATCCGGTGGAAGAAAAGAGAAATAAATATAAACATGGGTTATATCATATCATATCATATCATATCACATGTGACATTATTCGAAAACGATTAATGTTAAAGGGTGATGGACCGATCAAATTAAAAGTTGCAGAGAGGGGGGTGGTCATGGATATGATGTGAATGGGGTAATAACACCTAGATCGATAGATACACTATGCTGAGAAAATGATTCGTTACAAGATTAGATACGATAAAAGGGGACACAATCATTACGTGGAAAGAAGATGGACCGGCTCCTTTCATCTACCAAACGGCCATAACATTTAATATGATTTTTGAAATTTTATTTTCGCTACGAATACCCCCTCCCTCCCTCTCTCCATCCCTTTAAGCTTATTGGCAGAAAATATATTTATCTTAACAAATAAATGGAGAATAATCGCTAATTAAGCTTACTGCACGAAAAATTATTTTTATTAATAAATAAATAGAGAATAATCGATAACTACATCTAATTAGGCACAAGTCCACATCGTTTAACATAATAATAATAATGCTTAAAGAAAGGAATTATGAAATGAACCATTTTATAATAACGAGGAAAGTCCATAATTTAATATAGTCAACTTTTCTATTGTATATGTTGGAAACCCCCTTTCTACGTCTCTGACTCTGGACCGTAGTCGGCAGACCTTGGCTTTAAGAAGATACGTACGAATAAAAAAACATTAAAATAATCTTATAATGTAAAAGGTAAAAGTCTGACGGTTAAAAAAAAATATTAAACGGATTAAATGGAAAAAAAAATCCCAATAACCATTAACCAGAAGTTATCCCTTTTCTGTCATCTCGTTTATTCTTTTATCTATTTATGTTCATAAATATTTCCTCCTTTTGATTGGATAATATCATATGATATAATCAAGGACACTTGATCATATAAAATCCAACTCAATAACACAAAACCAAATATAAATAAAAAGTCTTTAAAAAAATTATTGTTTTAGTAATAATTAGATTAAATAGAGTCTAAGAAACAAGGATATAGTTTTTTTAAAAACAAATGAAATGTTCTAAATATAAAAAATAATCAATCAAAACCCGAATGGAAATCTAACTATGATTTTTTTACTATATGGGCCATTTTTTTTTCATTATGGCAGCTAACAGTACTTTTTATAGTCACACACACACACATATACACACACATATACATATATACATATATGCTTTAAATTATATTTGTACTATGCCAATAAATTTTTGGATTACAATTAGAAGACGTCTAGAATATTGTTGGATTGTTATTTGATTGTTTTCTCATAGGGTCCTCTTAATCATTTATGTGGAGAAGTTGGAATCACAGATGATGGAACAAAAAGTCAAACAAACGATCCGAGATCCAAAAAATCACATCTCCGACTATATGTCATATATATATATAATCGCATGAATTGAATTCCCAATAATATGCAAAAAAGAAAGCTAAATATTATAGATTTATTATTTTTAGGTTTTCGAGAGAAAGGTGACGTTGGTTCCTTCGAATCCAAGTTCTTTATAACTCACATTCATGCCTATAAATAGACCCTCTCCTCTTCTGTAACTTCGCATCTCCCACATTCACTCTCCTCTCTCTTATCTCTTCCGCTCCATCATTATTATTATTATTATTATTTTAAATTCGTGTTATTTGCAGAAATGGGGAAGAAAAAAAAGCAGAGAAGAATCTGTTAAGCTCAGGAGGGATAGCGCCATAATTATCAAATAAAGATGTCTAAAAATCTTGATAGTTTGATTCCGACATTGGCGCTATCCATCCTGAGTTTCACCGGCTCTTCTTGCTATCTCTCTCCTCTGTGCTTTTACCGCGTTTTCTCAATCGCAAAACGCTCTACGATCGCTTACGCGTTCTGGGTTTTCAAAATCTGCTCCTGTTTTTGCGCGTGCGTTTGCGTTCAAACGCGAAACGCCGTTCCACGCTTTCAATCCACCGCCGTTGTCGGACTCTCGCTTCTACTCTTTTATCGGGAAAAAAAACTTTTTTTTTTTTTTGGGTTTGTAAAATATAAAGTTAAAAAATCGGAAAAACTGGGTAGGTTTCATCTATCTTCCCAACGCTACTGTTGTTGTTTGTTGGCATTAATAATTGTTGTATTATTGGCATTGCAAAATTTGTTATTTTCCTCGCATTTTTTTAAATGTTGAAACGTGATGTGTCGGTCCAGGGTTTTTACTCCAATGATTCACAGATGGCTATCCAACCATTGTGTATTAAATATTTCCACTAAATTATTCATATGGGATACGCTACTCGCAAAAAGTTAGCGATTTTAGATTTTTTTTTTTATTTTCTGTGGTTGGGGGGAGAAAACACGTGGGCAAACCTAACATATTCATATACAGATTAGGTGTAGAGATTCTTATAACGCCCACGAACATACATGTATATCGATATGCGTGCGTATATATATTGTTTAATGTGAGTTTTCTAATATTCGTTGGGTGAGTGTACTTCCACGCTTTCACTGTTGCCTCCACTACATTCTTGTTTTATATATATATATATATATAAAAAAAAATGGGAAGTTTAGAGAGTATACTAGAAGCGGAAAGAGTAACTAAAAACCCTTAAAGAAATAAATAAATATACGGAAAATAAAAGATATGCATTTTGGTGGTCCAATTTCGAAGTATTCCGGGCGAAATTTATAAATGTTTACAGGTTTTCAAACTTTGGCAATCTCATTCGGAAAGGATGGATATGTAACATCATATATGGTCGGGTCCAACACGTTATGTCCAAGGACTCGACCGGTGGGCTTAGATATTGATGCATCGATTCCGCTATGATCTTCAGCCGGTTTCTGTACATTTATGATATTTTTTTTTTAAAATTTTCGAGTACTATAATTACACTGGCATGATAAAAATATAATTAGTATATTCAAAATTACCACAATATATATACATATATATATATATATATATATATGTAATAGAAGAAAAAGGGAGTCAAAGGACAGGTCGTCCGTTGCTGGGGCCGCAAGTCATTAGGAGGAGGGTCTCCCGACGCACCACGGCATCTCTCGTTTCTTTTGTTCTCTCTTTACCACACAAATCTCTCTCTCCCTATTATTATTATTATTATTATTATTATTATTATTATTATTATTATTATTACTCGCATTTCTGAGTATAACCCTCTTTTCTAAATATATATTAATCTATTTTGGTTCGGGTGAGAAGATTAACCTACAGAAGCTACACCACTTTATCATTTTGGTTTTACAAATTACATAAATATAATAACTGTATGTAAACAAACCAGTAAATACTTAATTCCGATTCAAAGTAGCATCAGGGACTTGGATTTCCACATAAACAATTAAATACATAATTAATAATTAATAATTACGACCAATAAAATATAGATGTTTTTCCATTAGAAATCCCAAAACGAACCTTACCAATTGCAGCGCCGAAGGCTTGTATTGCCCCAATAATAAAGCAAAGATCCAATAATCGGCCCAATAATCTCATTTTAGGCCCATTAAGGATCCATACACGGAGATTTTTGGTCGACGCTGTGTCACGTAACTATGGCTTGTACATCACCAAATCATTTGACATGTACACATGTCTTATATGGTATCCTCTAATATCCGGCGCTGGATTTTTTCTTTTTCTAATGATATCTCTCTTTATTTTTTTGGATCGTGTCCTTATTGCAATTGGGTCTCTTTCATATCAATAAAATATTATCTGCAATAAACCAAATTTGGATAATTCAACCGAAAAATGTCCTGTTTTGAGTTCGAAAGCGTATATTTCAGATCACCTGGTTAGTTTCTGATTTTGAAATTAATCTAGACGGTCCAAAATACCGATTATAAAAAAAAAATTACTGTCCGCAATATCTTTCGCGAATGAAAGAATGTTAATCCTAAAACGATACACACTGCAAACATTCTCCTATATGCACCGCTAGGTCCCGAAAAACTCGGGAAACCCTACGTAATGATCAAACTCTACTTGTTCTTGCCCTGGACCCATATCAGGACGTGGTCCAAAGACCTGAAATCTCTTGTCTGTTTCAAAATCTGCGGCTTCTGTCCAATTTGACATAGCTCCAGGGTTCTGGGGGTCAAACGGTTCATCATACCACATTTCTTGATTTGCTCTTAGCCGATCCTGCAACGGGGATTCTATCAGTTTCCCCTGTGCATCCAACGATCCTGCAATTCCAAGTTCGGATTGAGATATTGAACCGAGATCTCCCGTCTTGTTCCTGCCCGGTTGGTATTCTTGCAACAGGTCATGTTCAATGTCATTCTCCAACAAATATCCATCCCCATATCTTGTACTCATCTCATACCCTGCGTCTCGGAAGTTTCCAGATACGTTTCCATGGTGTTCTTGATTCACATGAATCAAGTTTACAGACATGGAACCTTGGTTTTCTGTCTTGTCTTGTTCTTGAAAAGGATCTTGCTCAGAACCTTCTAGCTTCACGTGTTCCAACAAATAGCTTCTGGAACCTTCCTCCTCTGCAATTTTCTCGTGTTCATTATCACACCCATCAGGAAAGTTCAGACGTGCGAGAGGTCCGTACATGGCCTTAGCAGCCTCGTCGTAAGCCATAGCCGCTTCCGCTGACGTGGCGAAGGTCCCGAGCCAAAGCCTTCTGCCTCCACGACGAGCCGAATCACTTCCCCGGTTAACCGGTTCACGTATCTCGGCGACCCACTTGCCCCAAACCCTCTGTCTGACCCCTCTGAACCGGCAAACCGGATTATCCGGCCCACCTTTCCCCCTCATACAACCTTTCTTCGATCCCTTCGCCGGAACCCTACGAACCGAACCGGTTGTCCCGGTTAGGTCCTGGTTCCGAACCGCCCATCTCTGTAACGTCGCTTCCACTGCCTCCCCGTCTCGTCGCCTCCTTCTCGGACTGTTTATGTTGTTGCCCGAAGAGACCACAGAGACAGAGAGGCTCGGTTTCGATGCGCCACTCTCTAATTTTTCCATCGGACAATAGAAGTATGGAACTCGAATTCCAGTTGAATGGAACGAAAGGGACCTTCTCTCTATTTCCTAAACTTTGCGTGGGAAACGTCAGAATCAGTTCTTGGGATGTTTATATGTATAAAGAATTTATGTGAATTACTTTGGAGGTTTTTTCCGCTGCCGGAATTTGGCGGCTCGGAACAACGCGTGCGGCTGACGGCAACGTACGGTCATGGAACACGTGGCGCAACCCTATTCAGTGAAATCGTCGCTGGTGATGTCAAAAGGGGGTTTTGAGATTTCTTGGCGACTAAGACTTGGACTTTGGTTTTTTTTTTTTTGGTGAACTAAAAAAATAGCTTGAATTGTATTAATTAACCCACCTATCCAATTTTGTTTCTAATTTAGGTTATTAACTTGGATAAGAATCCACCTGAATGGAAATCGTCCAATTTCATTTCTTGAATAGGGGTTGAAGACATCAAATTGACATCTTCCATAGAATCATGGGCCCATTGAAAAGTGCTCATTTTCCAGACACATATCAATATATATATATATTTTATAGGGAATACATACACAAGTTTGCTTAGTCATATTGTTATAATCGAGGTCGTATTCACGTGATCGGACCCTAAATTCAGCGGTTCAAGACACCGGCGTAAAACGAGTTGGCCCATGCCAGAATTTTTTATCCAATCCAGTCCGATCTGGTTTTATCAATCCGTTTTCTCTTAGATAACGAAGCAAAAGTCACAAGTCAAATAACTAGTTAAAAAAACACAATTTACATATTAAAAATAATATTTTTTTTAAAAAAATATTAACCATAATTAGTATTGTTCCATAATAAAATTATCTAAATGATGTTGATGTGATTGGACCCCTGAACTTAAGTTTCTATGTTTTTCTTTCACCTTATAAATCTATATGTCTAAAGAACAAATTTAATATGAATCACGAGAAAACACAATGACTCTTTACCACTCCACACAGCACTCAGCATTGGTATTATTCAAATTTCGAAACACAGAGAAAATATAGGTAATATTAAGAAATAAATATAAAAACAGTAGAGGATAATTAAGAAACACTGAACTCTTTCTGAGAATCCGTACAAGGCCAGGACATTTTCGACAGACGACGATTGTGTTCCTGGCATTGTACTTTGAATACAAAGAAGATACCATCGAAATTCAGACAAACGTCAACATGCAGAAAGCGCAACTGAAAAAACGAGGTACAACTACGTACTCCATTAACCTACAAACATCCCGACACAGACCGCGGGTTGTAGGGTTAGGCACTACTAATCAAGCGGCCTAGATTTTACGGTATCCGACCTCGACGATGGGTTCGGAATCAGATTTCGAACCTTAGAACCCGAACTGTGCCCAGATTCAAGGTCGAATACCCCTCGGGTACCCCAACTTCCACTTCCCACCTCCATACCTTCGGTCATGTTTCAATACAGGATAATCTAAATAGAACAAACCTGTCACATTTTGTGAGAATGTAAGACACAAAGGGCCCTTAAAAACAACAAAACACAGATATAATGAAATGCTTTATCCATGCCGTATATGTTTAGTTCTTCCATGCCGTATACGTATAATTATTTACATACTCTAGACACTACGACTCGGAACAAGCCTAATAGGATCTGTTTTGCCATTATTCCAAAAACTACCAAAGAGTAACCCCGTCAAAGCCATTCTAAGAAGCCAAACAAAATGTAAGAGCAATCCGTAAACTAACACAACATATGAGCAACCATGTACAATGCAAGGAACGCAAGTAGACGATAATTCTAGGAGTTTTCTGTATAAAGTAACTGAGCCTGGACCCTGGAAAACCCAGAAAAATCTACGATATATACATACACAAGTATTGCAAGAAAGACAAATTGTGAAACACAAGAGATCAATGGCTTACTATTTCATAACTCATATGCGTACAGTTGAAACCACAGTTAGATAGATGATTAAGAGAGGCCCAAATTAAACAAAATAACATACAGAGAGCATAGCTGCAAAACCCAAATAGGGAGTGAGAAACTAGAAACAAGCACTTAAAAATCCGACATAAGAAGATTGATGAGAACCCCCCAAAAAAAAAGAGAATCAAACGGGCAAGATGACACCCCATGAACTGTTTTCAATAATCTGCTTCTAAGAATCCATGCACAAGATTACTAGGAAGCATAGGACATAGGGAACACAAGTTGACAATAAATATTTCACCTACAACTGACAGAATAGAAAGGAATAAATTCTATTACTAGGAAGGAATCAAATGCTCCATCAAGATTCGACTTAAAGGAGCCTCCTGGGCCTGGTCCTTTTCCAGCTTCCACTTAAATATCTAAGGATAACCATTTCAAGTAAAGGATATACAATTGGTGAGTAAACACGATTAAGAATCCTCGAGTATCCGAAGGTCTTAGGTGTGAATTGAGGTATCAAAATTTGATACTGAATCTTTCGGATACGAATTCAGGTACCATAACCCTAAATTTTCCACGTACATCACAGCCACCACTAACGCATATTGTAATGAAATCTCCAAAAAATGAAAGAAAACTACACGAGCAGATTATATATATATATTTGGGAATAAAATAGCACAAAAGGAGACCTGACATACATAAGGGATTTGTCGAAAATTTAATATGATAGAATCTCCGAGTTATATCAGCCGCCTAAAGTGGAACTCAGCCTTTAGGCTCACTATTTCATAACTGACAAAGAAAATAAAAAAACTGTGAACTCCAAAAACTGCAAAAGAGGAATAGAAACCTGAAAACTATAACCGTCAAAGCAATTCCAAGAAACCAAACAAAATGAAAGAGCAATCTGAAAACAAACATAGCATATGGGCAACCGACTACAATGCCAGGAACACAAGTCGACAGTAGTTACAGGCATTTTCAGCGTTAAAGTAACTGAACCTCAAAAACCCAGAAAATTCTAACGAGATATACATACGCAATGTTTGCAGGAAAGACAAATTGTGAAACATAAGAGATCGAGGACTGCAGAAGTACCCAAGCTGCCTAAAGTGGAACTGAGCCTTTGAGGGTTACTATTTCATATGTATACTGTAGAAACTGCAGTCATATAGAGAGGCCCAAATTACACAGAATAACATACGTGCAATAGGGAGTGAGAAACTAGAAACAAGCATTCAAAAATCCCAGATTCGAAGACTGATGAGAACCAATAAAGAAAAAAGAAAACAGAGAAACAAATGGGCAAGGTAGCACTCCGTGAAGTTTTTAATTATTTGCGTCTAACAATCCATACACAGACATCAAAAGCAAGAAAAAAACACTTTGTGTGAGACAAATAATTTGGAAAGCAGACAAACAATACACAGAAATCGAATTAAACTAGGAGCAGGAAATGAGACAAAAGTTAACATGAGGTACAACTACATACTCCATTCATCATCACCAGTGGGCGAACCTACAAACATGCAAGATTGATAACAACGAAAACGAAACTAATGGACATGAGGGAACCCTGTAAACCAATTTCACTTTTTGTTATTAAGAATCCATACACAAACGTCTGAAGGTAAAAGAAAATACTTTGTGTGAGACAGAACTTAATAGGTAAGAAGATAAACAATTCATACAAACCATAAGATAATATCTAAGATCATCCATGACTCATAAGGAATAAGAAAAGGAACCAACACGACAAATTTCAGAAGTGTCATGGGACCTTGGAGAGCTATGCCCCAAAGCTCACCATAGGTCTCTAGACCATTAGAAATCCCATCAGATGGTTTTGAGAGATTGAACCAGAAGCTCGATAATAGCCGAAAATCAACCCTAAAGAAAACAAGTTGCGAACCCCATAAACTGGCAAGAGCAACAGAAACATGAAAACCAAAACCGTCAAGCCACAAAAAAAACAAAGGACAACGTAGGAACAAGAGAGATGAGATGAGTCCAAAACTACAACCATAAAAATGAAATAAAAGAATTAAAATAAGAGTATTGAAAAGGATGGGACCCACTCTGGAAAAAAACTACGTCGACAGAGAAGATAGCCATGATATAGAAAACACATTGGTTATTCATATCCATACAAGTTCCAAGAACATTAATGCAAACCTAGTAACCCACAAAAAATAAGAATTCAAACAAATATGAAAATAAATAGCAGATGATCCGTACCTTTTGAAATCTCATGTACCTCATCAGCTGTGCTATGATTGTCTTCTTAGATCATAAATCCGGCCATCAAGATCATCCTGATGTAGAGAAGGTCACTCCAAATCAAACTCAACTAAACACATAGGTTACATGGGTTTAGAGTACTCAGGGGACTACCGGAATCTTTACCAACACGAGAAGGATATCCACTTTAAATCTTGAAATTATCGTAAGTGTATGAGAACATTCGTTTAACATTCACAACTTAGAGGATAAGCATCTCACAACGGTAATAAAAAATGTGGGCCTAAACCTTAGGAAACTGAGATATGAAAACGTACCTGAAGTAACCTTAGCTGGACAAAATTTAACCTAGGAAAAATAAGAACTCAAGCAGATTTTAAAAAGCAAACCATAGGTGGACCCAAACCTCTTGAAACCTCACAGCTCATCGACAGTGGCTTGATTGTCTTCGCCTGCCCATTCTCTAGTATGGTGCTCTTCAAAAGCCTCAACATGAAAATCTGTCTCTCAAGATCGTCTTGATATAGAAAAGATCAGTCTGAATAAGCCTTAACTGAGCACATAGATTTCAAATCCAGTTACCTCTTCAAGGAATCTAGTGAATATTGACTGCAAGAATACTTAGGGAAATTTTTCATGGGTTTAGTGTACTCAATGCGCTGCCAGATCCATGACCAACATGAGAAGGATATCCGCTTGGTATCCTGAAATTCCTAAGGTTGTATGAGAACATTCGTTTACTATCACAACTAAGAGGGATAAGGATCTCACAAAAAAATTTTAAAAAACACTAAAACAATTAGTACAGTGCTCTTCGCAAGCCTCTCAACATTAAACAAATCAAAACAGATTCTTAACAAGGAAAGGAGCATAAACTACATTAAAATCAATTTCGCGAAAAATGCACATTCCTAACTAGTTAATTTCTATTTTGACTGTTTTTCCTGAAAAAAGAGACTAGGCGAAACAATCAAAGTAGACTCCTGTACCATTACTTAATCTCACAAAGATGTAGAAACATTATAAATGGCACAGAAAGTCACGTACAATAATTTTTTCTGAAACCAACAAATGCAATATCAGCTAAAAGCCATAATATCTAAGGAAAACATTGAATGCTAGAGAACAGAATTATGTAACAAGAGCTAATTGAACAGATTACCAAACCTGTTGATTCCTGTTTTGATTGTTTTTCCTGAAAAAGACACCGGGCAAATCAATCAAAACAGATTCCTGGACCATTGGTTAATCTCATAACTAGGTAGAAGAAATGTAACTGGGGCAAGACATAAACTATAGTAAAATCAAATAAGTCATAGATGTACATTTCGGAGTCAAAGACGAAAAGTTTTTAAACATTTGCTGCAACAGAATAAACATGTCCAATCTATTTGTTTGTGATTATCTACTTCGAATTTGAGCCTTTCAATTTTGTTGACCATGCCAGTAAAAGAACCAAGCCTTTAAGACTAGCAGCATTCTACCCAAAAGTAAAGATTTTAAACATTCTCCAATCTAAACCAACTTACCAAAAATATATATCATACAACACCTACATACAAAACGTTAACAGAAAGCGAGCAACAGAAACAAATCAATTACACGAAGAAAAGAACAGATTACTAATAGCTTACCAAGCTTACATAAAACTAGAGTACATGAGGCCGGATGGTGGGCATGTCTCCCTTGATTCATACGGCTTGTTCCTAATAGATTCCAAACCATCAAACACATTCTGAAACAAAACTTTAAAAAAAAAATCAAATCTAACCTGGAAAGGAACGTAAACAACAGCAAAATCAAATAAGTCATCGATATACATTTCGTAGTCATATTAAAGTTTTAAAGTTTTGTTACTACAACTTAAACATGTCCAATCTCTTTGCTTGTAATTAATCATCTACTTCAAATTTAAGGCTTTTAATTTTGTTGACCATGCTAGTAAAAGAACAAAGTTCTTAAGGCTATCATTCTACCCAAAAGTAAAGATTTTGACCAATTCTCTAATCTAAACAAAGTTACCAAAAGTGTAAGTCACACAAAACCAACATACAAAACTTTAGCAGCATACGAGTAACATAAACGAATAAAACACAACGATAAAGAACAATCAGAAATCTGCGAGTGAAAAAAGCAAAAAAAGAAAAAGAAAAGGGGAACTTATTTCAAACACTGAGAGCGTCTTCATGAGGGAAGAAAGGAGGCATATCCTCGTCGACACATACGATTGGCGCCTCCATCAGCGCAGAGACGTAGTTCTGCTGTTTTACAAAGAAAATGTAACACCATTGACTACACCGATGAGAGCACAACAAAAAACCTAACCACACAAACTTGTTGATTCCTGTTTTGATTGTTTTTCCTGAAAAATACACCAGGCAAGACAATCAAAACAGATTCCTGGACCATTGCTTAATCTCACAACTAGATAGAACCAATATAACTGGGACAAGACATCATGTAGAGCCGCAACATCTGAAACCTACCAATGTGATATCAGCTAAAACCCATAATATGGAGGGCAAACATTGAATTTCTATCAAGCAAGTGAAGGGAGAGCACACAGGCATTATTGTGAAAGCTAGAAAGGACAGAATTGTGAACCAAGAGCTAATTGAACAAAACTACTAATATCTTACCAAGTTTACATAAAAGTCAAGTATATCAAGTCAGATAGAGTCCATGTCTCTCTAGATAACATATGGCTTGTACCAATTATATTCCAAACCTCCATAGAAATTCTAAAACCCACCTTAAAAAAATAAATAAAATCTAACAAGGAAAGGAACATAAACTACAGTAAAATGAAATAAGTCATAGATATACATTCCGTAGTCAAAGATGAAAAGTTTTTAAAGTTTTGTTGCTACAGTTTATACATGTCCAAACTCTTTGCTTGTGATTAATCATCTAATTCAAATTTAACGCTTTTAATTTTGTTGACCATGCTAGTAAAAGAACAAAGCTCTTAAGGCTATCATACTACCCAAAAGTAAAGATTTTGACCGATTGTCCAATCTAAACCAAGTAACTAAAAGTGTAAGTCACACGACACCAACATACAAAACTTTAACAGCATGCGAGCAACAGAAACGAATAAATAACAACGATGAAGAACAATCAGAAATCTGCGAGTGAAAAAAGCAAAAAAAAAAAAAAAGAAAAGAAAAGGGGAACTTATTTCAAACACTGAGAGCGTTTTCATGAGGGAAGAAAAGAGGCATATCCTCGTCAACACATACGATTGACGCCTCCATCAGCGCAGATACATAGTTTTGCTGTTCTACACAGAAAATGTAACACTGTTGACTACACTGATGAGAGCACAACAAAAAACCTAACCACACAAACCTTTTGATTCCTGTTTTGACTGTTTTTCCTAAAAAAATCACCAGTCAAAACAATCAAAACAGATTCCTGGACCATTGCTTAATCTCACAACTAGGTAGAAGCAATCTAACTGGGACAAGACATCATGTACAGACACAACATCTGAAACCTACCAATGTGATATCAGCTAAAACCCATAACATGGAGGGCAAAAATTGAATTTCTATCAAGCAAGTGAAGGAAAAGCACACAGGCATTATTGTAAAAGCTAGAAAGGACAGAATTGTGAACCAAGAGCTAATTGAACAAAACTACTAATATCTTACAAAGTTTACATAAAACTCAAGTATATCTTGTCGGATAGAGTCCATCTCTCCCTAGATAACATATGGCTTGTACCAATTAGATTCCAAACCTCCTAGAAATTCTGAAACCAACCTTAAAAGAAAAAACAAATAAAATCTAACAAGTAAAGGAACATAAACTGCAGTACAATCAAATAAGTCATAGATGTAAATTTCGGAGTCAAAGATGAAAAGTTTTTAAAGTTTTGTTGCTACAACATAAATATATCCAATCTTTTTGTTTGCGATTAATCATCTATTCGAATTTGAGCCTTTCAATTTTGTTGACCATGCCAGTAAAATAACCAAGCCTTTAAAGCTACAGCATTCTAACCGAAAGTAAAGATTTTGATCGATTCTCCAATCTAAACAAGTTACCAAAGGTGTAAATCATACAACACCAACATACAAAACTTTAGCAACAAGCGAGTAACACAAACAAATAAATAACACGAAGAAGAGAATCAGAAATCAGCAAGCGAAAGAAGCAAGAAAGTAAAGGAAAAGGGCAACTTATTTCGAGCGCTGAGAGGGTCTCCATAAGGGAAGAAAAGAGGCATATCGTCGTCGACCCATACGATTGGTGCCTTCATCAGCGTAGAGACGCAGGTTTTGCTGTTCTACACAGAAAATATCACACCCACCGGAGCACAACAAAAAACCTATCCACACAAACCGAGAAAGACAAAGAGAAGAAAGCTTTGAAGAGTGAGACAAAACCTCCATGGTCGACGTTACCACCGCTGATAGCGGAGGTCTCGGAGAAGTAGAGGCATTTTGTCTCGGCAAACTTCGGTGGGGTCGTCGGCGGAAGCGTCGGCGTGGGAGCCAAACTCCTCAACCCCACGCGCTTCATGACGCCATACCTCCGAAAGCTACATCTGCGTGCACAATCGTGAGGATTTTCCTACGGAAGAGAATGAAGAATCGAAACAGAAATATTCAAAATCGCCTGAGATCTATTCGAGGGATTTCTCGATTTTTGCCCGTTGGGGATTGATATCTCAAAAAGACATGGTGTTTACCACCGTTGGATATAGATAACTGAATCTAACGGTGGACCTGTGTACACGTGGCGATTGAGATGAAAATCGCTGTGGCATGAAATTGACTTGTTATCCCCTATGTAATTTTCTATACGTTATTCCCTCCTCGTGACAATCTCTTTGCATCTGTATTTTCTCATTACACTTGTCATATCATCAATTCTCTCACACACACACATATATATATTATAAACATAGTACGAATAACTAAATGTTGCAAAGAATTTTCCTCAATCAAATTTATCTACCAACATCTATATTTATACAAAACTAGTTTATACAACTTGATATTTATATTTTAACACCGTTGATATCATTATAATTTATTTTAATTTGGTTTGATGGGATTTTTATATATTTTCTCCTTACTTCAAATCTAGAGTAAATTTATTTAAATGAAAATTTTGACTTAAAAAGTATCATACATTGTTATTAAAGGGGAAATAATTTAGAAAAAAAAAAGTAATATAAAAACCAGAGAAGATAAATGATACACGAATGATTATATAATTTTGAAAAAGTCGGTGAATTAGAGGCGCAAGAAATTAAATATGAACAATGAGAAAATAAATGTAGAGTCCATTGGTCTGTTATCGATCTTTCACTCTTTTTTTTTCTACTGAAAAACTGAGTCCCAAACTCTTTTTTTTCCTACCGAAAAACTCAGTCCCCAAAAACTCTTTAGGCTTTACTCATTTCTCTACAATATTTGAAGGTCCAAACCCAATCTCTTCTTCCACATTTTCATTTTTGCCTTTTGGTATCTATAACTTTGTAATTACAGGACAAGTATAACTAGGAACAAGTTTTAAAACGATTCATGTTTCGGATCACGAATACGTAACATTCAATAAAAAAAAATAGAATGGAGATATTATAACTCGAATCATATGTTCTTAGCAAATGAAACATTCGTATGTAATCAACAAGTGTTAATCCACGCACATGAGAATCGGTATGCCATTATATCCAACACAATGATGGATCACAAGGTTCAAAATGTGGCATGTGAACGAACATGAATGAGAACAACGTCGGATCCGATCGATAAGAGACTATCAAAATATCAAAACGTTCAAGATGCTGAATATGAACAACAGTGGAAATTCATCAAAACCATTTACAAGGCAAGGAGATACCGTAAGCAGCAGAGGGGGAAGTAAGTATAGATTTGTGATCAAATATCAGAAAGAGTATAAAAATATATATATTTCAGCTAGATTTATCTTATGCCACGAGGCAAAAAGATAGAGAGAGATCACATTTGTTTTTTTTCCTTTATTCTGTGGTTGATAAAATCTAAATATCGAATGAACAAACAAATTATACGGATAAACTTTCAAAATCCAAAAAGGATTACCCGATCCCGATCGGATGTATGGCGGATCTGTAGATCGGATTCGTTTTTGAGGAGCATTTACACGCGAGCGGCCACGACGGCAGGCGCGGCGGATGCGGCGGCCTTGGAGGCAGCGCCACCGAGAAAGGAGAGGAATCCAGTGGCTGCAGGCTCTTGCTCGTCTAGGAATAGGTCTTCTGGAGCCCTAAAGGCGCCGTGCGCACAGATCAGGGCAACTCCGACCAACACGGCGGAGACCAGAACAGATCCCACGTCGGTGAGGAAAACTACGAAGATACTGAAGAGAATGAGAAGGCCGAGGGTTTCGCGATCGGAGAAGACGCGTCCGAAGATAGCGAGAGGCTGATCTGAGGGACGGAAGAGGTAGAGGAAGAGCCAGGAGGCGAGGAGGCTGAGGAGGAGGACGAGAGAGAAAGGATGCGTCACCAAAGAAAAAGCAACGATCGCCGTCGCGACGGAGAGGTAGTTCACCTTGAAGTAAGAGTAGTTCTTGCGGATGCGGACAGCGGCATCAGAGATCGTCTCCGGCTTGGAGAAGGCGGAGCGATCGGCGAGCTCGGCCCAGGGACGGCGCTGCGAAAGGCCGTTGCGGACAGTCTCCGAGATGTTGTTGATGAAGGCGCGAAACGCCGGAGTGGCGATCGGAGGCTGCGATTCGACGGAGGATGGAGCGGCGGAGGGAACGGTTTGCAAGTTAGAGATAGGGAGGACGGGAGGAGCGGTGGAAGCCATTGTTGCCTGTGCCAGAGCTCGTGCGTTAGGCAGATCTGGAGAGAATTTAGGCGGAAAAATCAACGCGAGAGGATTTTGCGTAAGATGCAAAAAATAGAGATGAGAGAGCAATTGACCTTCGACCTTCCTCCTCTTTCCTTCGCAGCTAGGGATCACCGACAATAAATGAAATTTCTCGGAAAGTTACCATAGCCAATAAGAGAAAAACACGTGGGAGAATAGTTTTAAATGTTGCAAAGCCCATTAAAGGCCCACAACGCAGGTAAGCCGTAAAGAACTAGAACATATTAAAATCGAACATGAATAACTCATTAATAAACAAATAAATAATTAAAATAAAAACGTTCTATCATCTTAATTATACCAATAGCCCTGGATGTAACCATTCATGTAGAAGTATGCAAGACACGATTCATTTTCAAATATTCACCGACCTGTACAAACCACGGCATCCACGTGGACACCGTATGTGCAGCCAATTGTTACAACAGTTGAGATGCTGGCTGAGTTTGCTGCAAATCTTAAAGTGCTGAATAATGGATAGCAATGCTTCCGAGTTACAGAATCTTTTTTACTGTGATTCACTCACCGCAACAGCATCTGACCCGTGAAGCATTCATGAGTCCGCCACCGCTGGCGACTCACACATCTCCAACAATGTCATCTTCTGGGCCGGACAGGCGTGAAGGAGAGTGCAAACGTCGTTTACTAGAACCGCAGGTCCGTACTCAAACACCAATTTCTCGCACTGTAACCCCACATGAGCAAAAGATCATGAAAGCACGGCTCTTAATGTTATAACTCGATTGTTCTCAATCTCACCTGCTTCTCGTAGTTCTTGAGCGATTTGCAACCCTTCAGAAGGGTTGCGATCATATCGAGCTGGACACAATGAGAAAATAAAGTTTATAAGCGCATTATTAACATCAGTTAGCAAAACAATCTCTCAACGGCTATTGTGATTCACAAGCAGGTGAAAGAAAGAGATTTGCAGAAGCATTTTAAAAAAAAATAAGAGAAACGCTATGAGAACCAGGTCTTACGCAATCTTAACAATGATAATCCCATCCAAACTTTATGAACAGGCTCGTTTATTGTACTCATTTCCTGATTCGTCTCTTCTCTTTCAAGGTTTATTGTATTCATATGATTCTTTAATAATAGGCACCGTCGTTCTTCTAACCAGAAAGTACTTACTAACCTGTGCATCAGGATCTTGTAACTTGTTCAAAACCTCCGAAACAGCCCTATGGCACGCGTCACAACTGTTCTGCCGAGCTTCTTCTGCAAGAGCCACTGCTCCTTCACAAAGATCAGCCCTTCTGCAGAAATCCTCAGGTTGAAGCGACTCGAGTTGTAAGAAGAACAGAGGGACGTAATATTCGGCCAAAGCAATGCACTGCATCGACAAGATCCAGATTGTCAACCCAAGGGGAAACAAATCGGAGTAAAAGAAGAACAAAACCAATTTACAAACGCAAAGGATGTTCATTCAGCCGAGAGGATGGCCACGCAGCTGGGAACACCGATCATGAAGCGCCTCAATTACCTCAGACTGTGTTTCGTTTCTCCCAAGGTAGTCAAGGGCAACGGCAACATAATCCTCACACAATGTGCAGACCCCTTCGTTTTGAGCTGAAGAAAGGTGAAAAAGCATGATGCAATTAACAATGAATCATCTTCAACATATCTGCAAGAGATTAATTCTGACATGAACTGCAATAATTTAGCTGTCTCCCACGAACATGGAATGGAACCATAAGCGTAGGTTTCGGTTTCGCTTCACTAACGTAGATCCCCCTATGCAACACATTTTCTCATTAATACTCTTCCTGCTTCATTCACATAGATTACAAAGCTTCTGAATTTCCAGCCGAAATTTTAACAACTTGCAGAGAGCAAGTTTCTTCAGAGAGATGAAAAAGACCCAGAAAACGGGAGATTGAGAAAACTTTTCTCTGTATTTTTCCATTGATCCTTTTACACGTATATATACAAAAGAATCTGTGCAACAACCTCTAACAAATTCTACAAAAGGGAAAAAGTGTGTGCTAGCTACAAAACCAGTAAACCGGGAAAATACTAAACCAAGGAAATAATCTAAAGAATGAATAAACCAGAGTATAAAACCATTCCTCACACGTGCTCTGTTATTGAACTTGGATGAGATGCAAAAGCAGAGTCGTGTGAATACAGGGAGCGCCATAGACGTTAGGTGCTGATAAATTTTCCTCTTGTTCAAATTGATGAAAATTACATAAATGACCAAGTACGAAATCAAAGAGAAGTGGATGGAATAATTGGACCCAAACAGAACTGGGTTTATTTTCAGACTAAATATACAATCTTTTCCAAGAACTTTCCCTTTCTCATAGCATGATGCGTTCTTATTGTGTCTGTGTGTACACCTCTGGAATTCTTACCGGAAAAGTGAACCGAGTTTCCGAGCGTCGCAGGACAAGGCCAAACCCAGTAGGAAAAGGACCACTATCCCAACTCTCACGCCCATGATGTCTGATTCAACAGAAGAAGAAATCATGCTTCGGACAGAAATATAAGATCCATATCCACGGCTTCGCCGAAGAAACATTCCAACTTTTGGAACAATCAAACAATATCGCGTCTCAGATCAGTAGAAAAGAAGCCCTAAATTACGATTACCACCGAGAAGAATGAAACAATCTATAAAACCCTAAATCTTACTGCTTTAGTAGGATCATTTCTCTGTGCACTCGGCCCGAAGGTTTTGGGTTTGGATTCGCTTCGACTCAAATTTTTTCAAATCTATAGAATCAAGCAATTTAGATTCATATTCGAGTCAAGTCTTAGTCGACCCCTTCAATTCTTCTTTTTTAATATATTTTTAAAATTTTTATACATTAATTTTTAAAATAAATATATCGAACTTTCAAAATGGTTCGAAATCCAATTTGAGTTCAATCTGAAAGTAAGAAATTTTTTGGACCAAAAAATTATATACGAAACTCAATATTTTTCGGATAGAATTTCGGACCAAAATTGACACTCCTATTATTACCTTGCAACATGATTCATTACCGATTCGTAAACGATGTAAGCATATACTTTTAAAACTTGTTTATAAAATGACATAACGAGTCAACTTGCTACAGCTGTGAGTTATATGAGCCTTTGATAAACTAGATCGACGACATAGACTTAGAAATGTTTTTTTCAATTATATATTTTTTATATGTTTTTAAAAAAATTAATATTAAATTTAATTTTTTTATTGACTATATATAATTTCTTTTATGTTTAATGTTTCTAAATATTATTTATTTTGTAATTTTTATAATATAAAATAAATAATATTATATATTTTTTTTATTCGCAAACCGTTTGACTTATGAAGCAGGCGAGCCAAAGTTTTTTTTGATTCAACTCGTTTGACAAAGTCCATCATGTTGGATTTGGCTGGGATTACTTTTGTCGTTTCTTTTTTTTAAAATACTCATTTTTTCAGTTTGGTTTGATTTTATTTATTTACATTCCTTTATATTTTTTTCGAAAAAATGCTTGAAGGTTTTTAATTATGTTCAGTTTCTTCAGATTTGGTTCCGGGTGGAAATTTTGGACCTAGTCCATAAATGCCCATTATATAATATATCCATTCGAAATTAAAATTTAAAAAAAAACTAGGGGTGGGCAATTCGGTTCGGGAATCTGGTTCCGAACCGTACCGAACCGAATAATTCGGTTTCGGTTCGGTTCGGTATTATATAAAAATACCGAACGGTACGAAATTTGAAATACCGAACGGTTCGGAAACGGTTCGATTCGATTCGAGAAATACCGTACGGTATTTCGGTATTTTTATTTTTTAATTAAAAAATATTTAATATTAATAGTTAATTATGATATTTACTAATATTAAGAATTTGTTTGCATAATGCATTGAGATTAATGTTGAATTTTTTCCAAGTTTACAAGTTCGAAACTTTTGTTTTGTTTTATAAAATTATTATGTTGAATCTCTTTATTACTTTTATATTATATGAATTATAAATATGTCATGAACCGTACCGAACCGTCCCGAACCGTTTTTATTTCGTATTTCGGTTCTTATTTGGTACTTATTTATTAGTACCGTACCGTCCCGAACCGTTATAATACCGAACCGAATAATATACGGTACTAATTTGGTACAAATTTTATAATACCGAATAAACCGTTCCCGAACCGAACCGTTAAAATTCCGAACCGAATCCCGAAACGGCCACCCCTAAAAAAAACTGTTTAAAAAATACAATGAAGAGAGAACAATGCAGCCCATATGGGGTTTCATTTCATGGAAAGTTTGGACTAGTAAGCCCATTCAACACATTCATGATTCGTTATCATGAGGGTCAGTCTGAAACGCGTTGCCTCACCGAGTTCTTGACTCACTGAGTCATGAACCTCCTCTGGTGATTCTTCTGAGAGCGAGATCAATCTTCTTCATCGACGCAGTCTCTGGTGTGACGTGATGAATTCTGTTTGCTATTTAATTTATGTTGCCTGAAGTAAACACCGCCGGGCCAGCCATGCTGCTTCATGTATATCCCCATCTGACATGTTTCCATTTCATATGATCCCTTCTGCTTCAGCTTTCCAGCATTTTCTATTTTTCCCACAGTGAATTCCGTCTGATCTTTCACGACGACGCACGAATCTTCTCCATAAACGAATTCAACAATGAGTAGCCGAAGGAGAACTCACAACAGGTACAAAAGCCTTGCAGCAATTTCTGACACTGCCTCATCTTACACTTTGAAACACAACCTGTGACGATGGAATCCAGCCGATTCTCTTCTAAATACAAATTCCAGAACGAGAACTCATCATCTCTATGAGAGAGAGAGAGACCGCGGCGGGATCTTGGCCGGAGAAGGGTCAGCGAGGAAAGCCTCGGTGAAGGGGTCCTCGGAGACGGGTCTCGTGGGGCCCACATGGTCCCACCCATCGGCAGCACGACATGAACCATCTTCTCCTTCCATATCTCATCGTCGCCGCCATTTCCTTGATTCAAGATTTTCAAAGGTGTTTTAAGTTTGACTATCTGGTCAACCTAGGTCATCTTAACACGTGGCGTATTATTATTAGTTTCAGGTTTTAAGGAAAACTTTCAGGTTGTGGGCTACATGGCATCTAAGCGAACTCGATTGTGTGGCCCAAACCTGATGATAATCTTGCAAATATCCTATATATATTTGAGCTACATTGTATTCCTTATATATATTATGCAATTCAGTGCATGTTAACATAAGTCATCCCTTTCTATTCAGTTTCAATCAAATTCCACAGAACTTCAAAATCTCAAATAAAAACCATGCAAATATCGTATCGCTAATAATGACCAGTGTGATACAAGACAATAGATGGAGGACGTGTTCATTTTTATTTTACACTTTGATGTAACTTTTTTCTATGGAAACATTTTTTTTATATCAGATAAAGATATTATTCTATATACAACTTATATATATTATATTATATATATATAATATATATGGAGATGATTGTCTTAATCAAGGGTTATGGTCATCCGGGTCGGGGTCACACACATTGTTCTCTACGGCCAAGATCAGAGCTTGCTTCACGGCTTCGCCATCCATATTCCCTTCGGTACTGTTCTGCAAAAAAATTCCAAACACACGTATAGAGAGGCCCTTTTGGACTTACTGAATAAAACGGCAAATTAATGTAAACAAAAAAAGCTCTGATATCAGCTTAATTTCCAGATTTATGCTATACATATTGAGAGCTAATGGACACAACGGAATTCATAGAGATTTACTTAAATCGGATTCAAACCCAAAAAAAAAATGGCCCAGGAGTATATATATGTAGTAAAAAAAAATCACCGGGGTAGAACCGATACAAAATATGCTGTGTTCATTATCCCATCCAATCGATTTGCTAATTGATACAATGATATGTTTAGTGATGATGTTTTGATATATGTTGGTTGACAGATGATCTAATCTCACATGGTGGATCGAAACGTATATATATTTACCTATAGTATTAGTTTTATTTTTTATCGGATTTGTGACATTTGATAGATATTGTGTGACATTGATCATCATCAATCGTGTACTGGCATATATATGGAATAAAACCAAAACTTGAACAGTGATTTGGACGATCGGTAGTTGGGAAAGAAGAGTGAAAGGTGGGTTGCTTACATCTTCTCCAAGAGCATGGAGCTTGAAAGAGTCGGAAGAAGAAACCCTAGCATCGACCAACTCCATGCCCACCTGCTCAAATGCTTCTAATATGGAAACCAGCAGGCCAGGACTGTTCTTCATCACCCACACGTCTATCAAGAAACCCTTCTCCACGCTTTCCACCTCCACCTCCTGAAAACTCACCGTTTTTACACTAATCATGAGATTAACTTTACGATCCATATTGTACAAGAAATACGATAGGATCTCTTGGTTTGTATTACCAAATCTGGGAATATCATCAGATAGAATAGGAAACAAGGTAGAGAAAGCGCGTGCGCGGACGTCAGAGAGAGAGAGAGAGAGAGAGAGAGAGAGAGAGAGATTATGAACGTGGGAATACCATTGACGACGATCCAGAAGCTCTTGATATCTGTGTCAAAGATCAATTCCTCTGTGTATATATATTGTTTTGTCAATCGTGACCAAGTCTCCACGAACCTGGAGATACATACATATATATATATATATATATATATATATATAGAGAGAGAGAGAGAGGAAGAGGAAAAAAATGAATAAGCGATTGAAAGGAAAAAAAAGGCTGATATAAAGACTAAAGTACTAGCTGAACGAACACATACCCTCTGGATCGACAGAACTTCGATTTGGATCAAATAATCAAGATTATATTCAAACAACAATTACGAGAAAAATAGATATGTTGGAAGATATTTCGGAGCCTGTGAGTGTCAAGAGTGCGCAGTGTGTGTATATATAGCCCTGCTTGCTTCCTATATTATCTCCGGAAACCTTTTATATTCTCTTTTTCTTTTTGGGAGTATGTATGTATGTATGTGCATATTCTTTTTGGATAACGTAAATACGAAAATATGGTTCTTAAGTAATGTAAATCTTTGCATTGTTTTTATTTTGTAATCATATTTACTCCATTAATTCAACACGTACGTGGAATTATTTGCCCCTCTGTCATTAATCTTTGATTTAATATGTATGCTCCTTGAAGTTTGTCATTCACACTCACACACATGCATACACGGATACATGTGTGTGTACATTCATGGATGCTATATATATAATATATTACCAGTATATGGGATGAGTCGACGAAAACCACTTGGGGTATTGATTAGGAGGCGTGTATTTCAAATTCTTTTCTTTGCTTAACAGATAATTTATATTTAATATATATATATATATATATAGAAAATAAATTCAGGAGTCATATCATAACACGAAGAAAAAAACGAGAAGGGTACAGATGAATATGAGATGTGAGAGATGATTAAAGAGTCCCGTGAGATGTGCTTTGGAGGGATTGACAGCTAAGGTATCATTCTCCTCCCTTCTCCTGTACTTGCATACATACAATACAGATGTGTATATGTATATATGCTGCACACACACACACACACACACATATATATATATATATATATATTATAGGAATGTATTAGTGTAAACATATATATATATATATATATATATATATATATATATATATATATATAATAAACACATGTCTACACGTGACCTGACTTACCTTGGATAAATATTCCCACTAAATGGGATCATCACACTGCATGCTTTGTATTATTTAGACATCCTCGCAACAACAA